GCACGTAGACTCAGAAGGAAGTCATACTTCGATACTGAATTTTCCAGACTGTATATATATTATTATTGTTAGTAACCGCATTTCTGGATCTACTAACCTTATTACCAATTGTATTATTACGTCAATACATTTATTTGCTATATTTCATTCCTGCGTTTGTCATTCATTTGAGACCGGATTTCATCCCGGAATCCACAACACTGCTATTTTCTACCTTATAAGATCCAGATCAGGCGGATAATGGAGTACTGCTTCCATATATTCGCAGGAGGGGATCAGTCTTCACTTTCTTTTTTGATAGAGTCAAAAAAGCGTCTCTATGTTTTTGTGGTTGTCAAATTATTTTCCACCCTACAACCACTTTTCTCACAGGCGAAACGTCGCAAGCTTCTCGCTACTCTATCACTATTTCCATGGAAATTGTCCAGACGAACTGCATTCCTTTGTTCTAACAGTCGTAACATTCACGACTAAGATATCGTGTCAGTTGTGTATCATATGTCAAGATTGTGTTATTCAATAATAAATACTGGTAGAATTAATACTTCCCTTAGGATAGCCTTTTAGCTACAGAATAAATAAATCATTGAATGTTGGGTCGCTAGTGAAACACCTTTTCTAGAATATCGACATTTCTGTGAATCATATAACATTGTATTATTATGATTAATATTATTCGTAATCTCAAGTAAATATAGAACGAAGACTTCTTGTTCAGGAAACTTGTACAACATTTTAATTTTTTTTTGAAGGGATTATGTCAGGTACCAGAAGTCTTTTAGATAGAAACCAAATTTAATAGAAGAATAATCTTGTTGATAAACGGAAGATGAAATACTTTAACAAATTTAACAAACGTATTTATATTTTTAAAATGTGAATAAACAAAGTGTTAGAGTTACAAATATCGAAATAAAACAAGATATATCATCAGTTGTTGGACGATCCGAATATCAACTGTTTCTTTATTTGTATCTGTGCGTGTTGAAATTTTGCCTTTTTTTGTATATGTGAACCTCTGATACGCTAGATTAAAAACATATATCCACAAACCATGATGCTGCCACCACCAAATTTCATTGTTGGAACTGTGGTCTTTTATTTGAAGGCATCGCAATATTCCCTCTATACATGATTTCTAGAATTACGCCCCAAACAACTCAATTTTGGTTTCCTCTGTCCATAATACTCTTTTCCAACACGATTTTTCCTTATCCCTATGTTTACGAACGAATTTCAACCTGGTATCTGTGTTTCTTTTTAATAAGAGTGAAGTTTTCCGAGAGGAGTATGACTTTAGATTGTTCCTATAAATTCCGTTGCTTATTGTCCGTTTAGTGACACAGATTCTTGATAAAAGCAACTTATCCTTCAATTCTTGACGAGTAACCATTGAATTTTGTTTAATTTGACGCATTCATTTCCTGGGAAATCTTGTAGAAATCTTCCGTGGAGTAACTGTTCTTTGGTTTTCAACAGTTTTGAGTTTTTTATACCTTGCAATTAATGGTAGTAAATGGAATATTCAGGTCCTCTGAGATTTTCCTGTAAGTTTTACATTCTTTCCAGAGCTTAACAATGTGCGAATTTGTCAATTCTTTACCTCTTGCTATGAAGATAACCTTCTTGCACGAATATCAATTACAGAATGTTCTGTTTGTATTTTTTAGGCATAAAATAACTACTGATAACATTATTGGAACATTTTAGAATATTCCACTTAAATAATCTAGAGGATTAAAGCAATTTAAAAGTTTTAAAATCTGAAATTTGCATTGTACGAATACTTTTTTATCCATGAAAATGGATAAATGGGGTTTATTTCTGTTAAAAAATGTTTTCTGTTTTCTATGTATATTTAGTTATTATGCATATATGTACAGTTAATTATACGAAAAGTATCTTTATTCATTAGGTGGAAATACAATAAATTAAAAATTTATATGTGTACGAATATTTGTTCCACTCCCCCCTCCGACTATATACTAATCAGAGCTGAACAATATCGAAATTGAGTGATTGGTAATGTTACGAAAAGTACAAAATTTCTATCGAAGAGGTGATAGCTCAGTTCGTTATCGAAATTTAGGCTCCAAATGTGCAGAAAGGTTATAATTACTTCCAATTTTTCATTGGCTAAAACATAATTTAAGATTTTATAGATACTACCCAAATTTGGACAATGTCGAAACTGAGTGATTGGTAAAGTTGCGAAAAGCACAAAATTTCTACTGAAGAGTCGATATCTCAAATTAGTTATCGAAATTTATAGAAAATAATAGGCTTCAAAAGGACCTAAACGTTAAGAAAGTGTATATGGCGTATGCTAAAAAAGTATCAGGACATTTGCTATGGTAACAGAGCTAAGGTAGGGAGAGTAGAGCCGTTTGGCGCAAAGTGATCTTAAACTCTGTTGCGCATGTGCACTGTGTTATAACGGTCTCATTCACATCCGTTGTTTATAGCTGTGTTTAGAAGGAAAGTCTTTAGAATGTGTCCGTCTCGCCACACAACACGGAGGTTTCATCAGTGACTATGTCTTGTGCAGCAGTTTTTGGACACGCACAACATTGCAGAGGTCGGACAACCAGCATATTCTCCAGATTAACACTGCACTCAGTGTGAAAGCTGGTGATTGATGTGTTAAGTAATGACACCAAAAATTGATTCTTTTCTTTTGCCAATTTTTGATCTTTTAGTTTTAATTTCCGCAGATTTTTGCTTACAAATACAATTCGTTTACCGTATCCGGTAAGTAAAAACTGTATAAAAAATTGTAAAAGATTACAAAAAGGCTACTCAATGAATAAGATTTATTAGATCATTCCTTACATCATAATTAATAAAAACAAAAAATATATAAAAATGTATATAACATGATAATACTGCTGGGCACAAATTATAAGACAAAATATTTTAAATTTCCATTTTTATTGAGAACCACACTAAAACTACAGCACAGTATAACATATTACATCATAATATAGCTAAATTGTTCAGTATAATTTCCCTTTGAAATAAATGAATGTCTTATTTGATGGTACAATGATTTAGTAATAATGTTCTTTTTTCTTGCTTCTTGTCCATATACAATTTGTAAAGTTTCAGTAAATTATAAATTGTATAAAGCTTGTGCTTTAAGGCTTTCACAGATCACCGGAATGAAATTGCAACGCTACGATCCTGAACCTTAATCTTAATTTTTAAACTCGTTTCTTCAAAAACTGGTAACGATGTGGAAAATAATATTTTGTGCCTTAAGTTATCATGTGAAACCCCAACAGTGATTTTCTAAGCGTAGCTTGGATGTGGCACAAGGCCGAAATAGGGGGCACTCAGTGAGGATCGAACTCATTACTCAGTCGTAATTGTTCTAGCGAGACAAGCTTCTTAATCATTACACCGCCTCGGGGTGCCTCAGGTATGTGTGTGAATATGTGAGCGTGTGCATGCATGTTTGTGTGAATGTACATAAATATGTGTCCGTGTGCATATATGTGTCCAAATGTATATATGTCCTAATTGTGTGTGTATATGTGTTTGAATATATCGTAACGGTCGTCGGCTCGGCTCGGCTCGGCGTAGCTCGGCGTAGCTCGGCTTAGCTCGGCTTAGCTCGGCTTGTGATATCGCTGAATCAAGTTCAAATACTACTCGATTATATTTTGTTCCCGTCTCGCTAATTCCCTTAGGAAAAAAGAGGTGGGAATCCATTTATTTCCAGCTATAGATTAAATAACAGAGTATCTTGGGATTTTCGTGCCTTGGGTTGCTGCCAGTGTAAGAGAAAGAAAACTTCGAATTCAAACCTGAGAAGGCCTGTCTGGAGACTTCGTGCCGGCATTTCTCTATTCTTTCGAAATGTGTGTCTGGTTTTCTACACAAACCTTTGCCACTATAATCAAATCACATGTGTCACTCGTCTAGCAGTTTAGTGAATTGTTGGGCCTCTTAGACGTCAAAATCGACCGGATTGTCCACCATTTGCCTATTTGTGCTTTATGTATTTTCTTAAAAGGGTGCATTTTCTATGGGCGTTACTCATTCCTTGAAAAGGCGCAAAGTGAAAGAAGGGAAAAAGATAACGAGTTCGACGTGTATTTCTGTAAACGGAATAAATAAATCGACAGAACCATTTTGTAGCCAATAAAGGCAACTATCTGTTTTTGCTGTTTGCAACGCCATCAATCAGGACCATTTTGAAAGTGAAAAATGGCCATCTAATTCCCAACGATTTTCTTTTTGCGCCTTCCACAAATCACTGTTTCGCCTTTCAGAGATTCGACGATATCTTCGAATCAAAAAAGAAATATATATATATATATATATATATATATATATATATATATATATTATCAGCTTATCAGAAACTTTTTTTGGCGCCAAAGGAATAAAAGAAAGACATAGAAAACTAATAGTGACGGATGTGCTGTATATTCTTTTCGGATATTCTTTGATGCATTTTTTCCAAAGACAAATGGTTAAGAAAGTTTAGTTTAAGCTAGAAATAGGAACAACTAGAATGATAATGCTCATGTTTCCTTATAATTAAACATTCGGCATTCACTGAACGGACGTCTAGTGCCACTATCAGCTTGAATTTATAAAATATTTCTCTTAAATTTTTTTTCAGGAGAATAGGTTTCTCAAGCCCACTAAGTCTAGTTGCTCTTTCCAGTATTGACTGACGTTTGCTTCCTAACCTTTTGTTTGAAGTAGGGGAAATGTCTTCAAGTTACATGCTATATATTTTAGTTGTTGAAAGTCCGCAAGTGATATAGTTTCTGTTATTTTTACGGTTTATCAACCCGTTGCAGGTTATTTAAAGCCAGAAAATATTTTTAGATTGTAAGAGTTTTTTTTTGAAGATGATAATGATTTCATTGATTCAAGTCCTACTAATTATCCGATAGCTGGAGGTAGGGATTGGATTCATAACTTTCTCCGAATTTAAAATTCAGAGAAATTGTCCATTACACTACCTACATATCCAAACTTAGAGCACCTGCTATTCTCAAGCGGTCACCCAACTAGTTACAGACTAGGCTTGACGTTGCTTAACTTCAGTGATCGTACGAGAACCGGTGTTTCAGCGTGATTTTGCCGTAAGTCCCTTTATTTGGTATAGCATATTATTATTATTATTATTATTATTATTATTATTATTATTATTATTATTATTATTATTATTATTATTATTATTATTATTATTATTATTATTTCGATTTCTGTTAGGTCGGACACATTTCATGTTAATTTTTTTTTTTTTTTTTTTTTTTTTATCTCCGAATTACTCAAGTTTGCTGGGAAGAATGTGTTGTTTTGTTCCATTTTTATAATTCCAAGAAGGTATTCTTTTTTTTCAATTTCACTTTATTTCAATTTCCAGGTCTTTTTATTTTGTTTTTTGGTTGCTATGTTTTAATACATTTCATGATTTGAATGGTTTTCTTCTATTTCTTTCATATGTTCATATTATCACTAGCGTTAAGTATTGCCCCACATGGACAAAGTTCTTAGATTAGATGGTCTATTGTTTCTTGGTATTTGTCACAGAACTGTATTTTGGATCCACATTTGATATTTGCCTGAGAATTCAAAAAGACTTGGTCTTGCGCTGCATTTCAGTTTCAGACTTTAATCCAATGCTCGTAACCATCGATGAGTATTAACTTTATCAACATTGGGTTTATTTGCATTTCCAGCGTTGTTTCATCTGTTTCAAGGGCTTTATCCTTGGCTTTTTTTTTTACAATCTACTAAATGTTGTTGTATTTTCTTTTTTATTTCATCCAGTCATTTGTTGTTTCCATGTAGTTAGTAAGCCAATAGTTGTTGTATGAATAAGACCTCTTCCACCTTCTTTACGGGGTATTCTACATCAATGATGCATCTTATACTCCATTTGTTTGTCATTTAGAGTCCAGTTCAAGATGTTGAAACTATTTGGACCACTGGGATTTTTCAATTCAGGTTACGCTTTCATTTTCTTATTTCCTTCATTTTACAATTTTATAAGCTTCTCCTTGTTCTAAATCTTTTATTGTTACAGCAGGGTCTAAACTAATAGATATCCGCACTGTATTTATCCAAATTGAATTTCATTCCAAATGTCTTCACTGAAGCATTTTACAAGTTTGCAGAAGACCTTCCAGCTCATTTATTGTTTAGATGGTTTATTTTCTTTTGATATTTTTTTGTAACCGCATTCTGTCTTGTTAAGTTGGCTGGTTAATATATATTATTATTATTATTATTATTATTATTATTATTATTATTATTATTATTTATTATTATATTTCGATTTCTGTTATGATTTTTGTGGGAAGACTGTTTCTAACTTTCATAGCATCACTAGCGTTACATGGACAAAGTTCTTACAGTGTGGGCTGTATTTACCAAGACAATTTGTTTTATTTCTTTTAAGCTATGTCTTGTTGTATTCTTTTTTAAATTCAAGGCATATTATGACTACTACTATTCTTTTTTCCCATATTTTTTCTATTTTGATTTTCAGGTCTTTACACTTCGATAGTTATTCAAATTCCTCGGTTGTTACGTTACCGTCTGCTGGGTAAGCCATAACAATTACAAGGCAAGTTTTTATTTTCGGTTTTTGACAATTATATCCGGCCTATTATTATTATTATTATTATTATTATTATTATTATTATTCCATTTGATTTCTGTTCTATATTCATTTCCTTCCGGGTCCCAACTAGAGAAATGGCATCATAATGTTTTCCACTGAGCACTTTTGAAAGAAAATAAAAAGTAAGATAAAATAAAAAATATACCCAAGATAACACATATTTTAAACAGATAAGGTCCATCGTAAGATGTGAGCTTTACTTATGAGAACAAATTTTGCATTTCTTTAACACGTGGGCTACTAGGGATCCCTTCAATGAGTCCATTGGGACCTTTTCCTATGAAACCGAGGGCTTCAACCACAACTAGAATTATTGATATTTTCACGTGTCTTATTTTTTTTAGATTTCTCTTGTAAGATCCTTATATTTTGATACATTACAGTCTATAGGAACAACCCATGCCAATAAGAAAGCACATTCTGTTTTTGTGATCTTTGATCACACTCTGTTTGGGCGATTAGCATTGATTGTTCTGTCTTAAAGGCACTGCCTCTGTAACCGGGTCGGAGTAATGTTTATAGCACTTTCTTGCAGTCCCGACCCCCCGTAATCATTACAGATTTCCCAGTGCAGATATTAGCACACATTGTCATGCAGAGTTTTATATTCAGTGGATGCTAATACCATGCAACCTAATACACGATGGTCAGTTGTTTCTTAATATATATCACAAAGACGGCATTTATTATTATTATTATTATTATTATTATTAATAATAATAATAATAATAATTATTATTATTATTATTATTACTATTATTTGTGTATGTTATGTTTCCTGCTTTGTATCTTGTAGAACCGGGTCCAAACTATGGTCGTTAAGCCCTATAAGAGAATTGTTATATAATTGAGAGGACTTTTCTTACAATATGGGCGATTTAATCGATAGCCCTTTTATACTAAGGTATATGGGATGTTCCTAGTAGGTCGATCATTCTGGCAACTTGTATATTGATATTTCTTGGGACACTGTTAATAAAAGTATCCATTCCTTTTCTCAATTTTTCTCGATATTTTTCATGGAGTTGTTTCGCTTAGATAGTATTGCTATGTCAATAGGCATGCACTTCTTTAATTTCTTGTCTTTTATAATAATATTAGGTCTGCTGGCTTCTCTTTCCCTGCCAGTTTGAACTGGCATGTCCCAGGGGATAGTTGCATCGATATTTTTGGTAACTGTGTCTGGTTGGTGCCCATTCCATCTCTCAGTAGTTTCGATTTTGTATTTCTTACATATCTTCCAGTACACATATGTCGCTTCCTTGTTATGTCTGTCGGTATATTCATTTTTTTGCTAGTTCTGTAGATCCTGAGATATGGTCGACAGTTTCATATTTTCCGCAGATCCTGTTTTTCGGGTTGTTTCCAGCCTTGATTATGTGACAGTGATAGCTGTGGTCCTGAGCTGCAATAATTAGGTCTTCTGTCTCAGCTTTCAACAGGGTGCTCCTCAGCCTCTGATGGGTTTTCTGAAGCGGGTTGCGATACATTTGGGTAGTTCCACCAACATCATCAATATTTGTGATGCAAATTAGGTAGACAACGCCGCGTGAAAGCCGTCGATAACTGTGATAGCACAATGTCACAAGTCATTGTAACCGAGAGCTTAAGTGTAGAAGCTTTGTTCAAATAATCATGTCAGGTTGAGTGCTTTCTTTCAGAAACTGTAATTAATGTTTTCTCAGCAGAATTGCAGTAGAAACCGCAGTTTGGTTATGTGGGTAGAAACATATATATAGATCCGAAACCAGCATAACAGCAAAAACACGAGAAATCCGAGAAATCCTTATAAACGCAAAAATACCGTACAACATAAATTACAAAAAAAAAAAAAAAAAAAAAAAAGAAAAAAAAAAAAGAAAAGAAAAATGGTTGCAAGTTTTAGAAGATTAACCAACAACTGAAAATCTATAAAATTGGTATTGGTGTCCTTTACAAAAAGTCCTAACCTATACCATATTGCAAATTTATAGTTTTTTTTTGCTGTGGTGGCAAAACGAGCCTGAAGATGGACGGACTGCATCTGATTAACGTGCTCAAGACACCCCACTGCTGTCATGGTTATATTTTAACATTTAACATGCGTATTTCATTCTACAAGTAACTAAATAACTCGCGAATATTATAATCGTTGAACATCGCTGCTACTTGCTTAGAATAAAAGTTGCAATTGATCTTTGTTTTTATACGTAGTATATAGGTCCTGAAACGAATCCACTTCCCGAAGTGCGCATCTGGCAAGAGACCACGTGGGGCGCCACGTCGTCGATTCAAGGATCAACTCAAAAACACCTTGCTGGGGACAGAAATCGATCAGGTCAATGTGGGAGACGGAAGGTGCAAAAAGAACCAATCGGAGAAGAGCAGTCCACGAAAACACCAAAAGACAAATAGAAGAGACGAAGAGAGACCAAAGAAAAGCCGGAGGTTTTAATCCTCTGAACCCTCCTACCTATCATTTGGTGGCTGCGGCGTCTCTTCAGATCCTACATAGGACACATTTCACACGGAAGGACCTGTCGATGAGCACCCCAATACTCGAAAACGAGTTCTGCTGACGACGACTTATGAGCGGATAGGTTGACCTATCATCCGGTTAGAAGACCCCCCCGACGGCTTTTGAACAGGAGTAGAGGTTTATCACTTGCTCCATATTTAGGATTGGGTTGCGATTCTTTTAGACTTTTTGCCAAACAAGGCTGTAAGAACAGTCTACCCTATGATTTAATCTATAGCTGGGCAATTTTAGGCCTTAGTCCATAAGCACGAACTTGGAATCTGGACTTTAAACTGGCTTTGTGCCATATCCCGTCACCATGGTAGGACGAGTAACTACTAAGTGTAATATTTGTTCTTCTCACCTCTAATAGTAATTGTAATATTGACCGTTGCTTTATAAGGAAACATACTTAATTCATTGACCGAACAACCAATTGCCGGACATCCGTTTACCCAAACAAATCCTCTTCTCAGAGCTGGAACCTGTCAAGAGATCACGTGGAGCCCCATGTCATCGATTCAAGGATCAGCTCAAAAATACCTTTGCTGAGGGCAGAAATCGATTCGGTCAATTGGGAGACGGGAGCTATAGAAAGAAGCAATTGGAGAAGAGTAGTCCACGAAAAAATAAAAACAAGATTGTTCGAAAAGACCAGAAGACAAATGGAAGAGACGAAAAGAAACCAAAGAAAAACCAGAGTTCTTAATCCTCTGAACCCTCCTGCCTATCATGTGGTGGCTGCGGCGTCTCTTCAGATCCAACATAGAACTCATTTCACACGGAAGGAAACGTCGATGAGCACTCGAATACTCGGTAACGAGTTCCGCCAACGACGTTAGATTTACTGTATCCCTTTCAATGTGTATTCTGTGCACTGATTACTTCTCTGTGTCTTGATTATCTATGCCCCCCCCCTGTCCAGTGGTTTTCCAATGAGTTTAATGCATTTCTTTTA